AACTTTGCGAAACATTCATTTCAGTCTCAGTCATGAAATTTCGACTCAAAGATCGACAGATTTTGGTCACGGGTTGACAAAATTTTCCGTAACTATATGGATAAAGCACTTTCAAGGACATGACCTAAAAAAATTGGGCAGAACATAATGAACGTTCGTGTGGTGGTCACAGTGAAGTCTGGACGTCTCTCCGCAACTATGGATTAATCGAAAATCGGAACAAAGCCAGGCTGCACATTGACAAACCCGACCAAATAATCATGAGAAATGTGACAGTGTTATGCCAGGTGAAGCGTCATGCAGTGCAGCTCAACTATGAGTGTTCAAATACTACTTGTCCAGGGGCCAGCCAGGCTATATATAGAAAGACCTGACGTTCTTTCTCGTTTAAGTAGTAACAATTGTATTCTCGAGCCAGAACAGAAAATTTTGAAATAGGGGGCGAGGCATCAGTTCGAACTTTGAACTGTCAATGGCATCGATCAGGACAGAGTAATTATCATAAAAATGTTTCAATAACTGACCTCCCAGGGAAAATTTGAGACAATCGAAAGTTTATATGCAATAACGTTACCTATTTATACACAATATGTGGCCTAAATCATTGATATGAACATAAAAAAATCTAAATAAAATTCAAACGTATATTTGATTTGGCCAGAAGCTCTTGATTTTACTAAATGATTTTCAGCATTGCGGATCTTTAGTACTGTGCCAATAGCGATAGTCTGGCTACAAATGTGTTAAAGTTATTTATTTAGCCCGAAAAGCTCTCAGCTAGCTGAAGTGCTATCACTCACCGCACATATGCAACCACCCGCCACCAAGTGAACCGAGGCGGTGGCACTTACGAGGTCATGCTACGCAACACACGCACAGCGTGTTGCACGCGATCACATGCGGCCCAGCTGCTCTATACGAATACCTTCTGTTCGTGGTAAGCTCGATGTGATCCTGTCACAATTTCAATAATTTCATAGCCTAACTAAATTTAATGAGTGAATATTTTCGAAGATAATCCGAGTGTAAAGTATATTGAGATTAAATTTTTGTCCTGGTTTTAGAGACAACAGCTAAACTGAAATAACAGAAACCAAGACAAAAAATTTCAAGTACATTTCAAACTTGTCCACAATTTTAAAGTTTGGCCGACAATTAGCATGGCAGTATTCAATTAGCATAGTTTTTCAGCTATGGCCGCTCAGTCCGGAGCGGAAGCGCATTAGAGCTCCTCGATAATGGCTCTGTGTATTGCAGTTCAACAAGGCAAGGTGCATTAGCAAACAGAGCAGCTCTCTGTCAACCCAGTCACCGCCCGCTTAACAGTCATCCTGTGTCACTGTAGCAGAGCGACACTCTACCAAATATGGACTGCTATTGACTGTGTCGACACTCTATTGATTGCGGCCTCCACTGCCCTGTTACCGAACGCCTAAAATAGAGCCATTGCCAGCATTAGCGCACCCATATCTCAATGAAACATTTCCACTTCATTCGCAGTGAGCTACAATTTATTGCTTCATCAGCGCTCATTTGCGCGGGGAAATGAATGTGCTCGGCGTTGGAAAGCACAAGAGGCGGTGTATTTTTTTTTCATATGCAATTGTACACGGAATGGTCCATGCATTACTGACTTGAATTAGCCGAGTGATTATGAAAAAATTAAGCCAGTTATCTTCATCAGTTGGCAAATGGACACTGGAATGATGAAAAAAATTCCTAGCACCGTATAGTAACACTGCCAATAAATATTATGGAACAAGAGTAAGGATGAAGCGACAAGAGACGCTCAGAAAGAAGGAACATACAAATATCGCACTGAAGTGGCACTGTGGCAGTAATATAGCAACAGCAGCACCGAAGTCGACAGCAACAAATAGAACGATATTTCTGAGGTGTTCATTCGGCAACAGCAGGTCTGAAGAAGACAGTTAACGGCCCAGACTTACGCCCGTTTGGCCGGGCTCGTGCACCGCAGCTTTAAGCTTAATTGCAGCCACTCGACCATTACGGCCGCGCGCACAAATGCCTGCACAAAAATCCGCCCTAGACCGACACCGTAAACGAGCTTTGGGAACACGAGAGGGTCTAGAGTGAAGCACAATGCGGGGTATGATTCTGCAGAGTAGCAATGAATGTTTGTAATTATGGCAATAAACCTAGGCATTGTCGTGAGCGCTACTAGGAATTTTGCAATAAAAGATATTGTCCTCTGTTAACATTTTGAATGCTCCGTTGTTCAGGATAGAATGTGCAATCACAGAAGATAAATTAGCTTTAAAAACTGACTCTCACCGTCAAGCTTAGCTTGGAAACGAAATTTTCGGTAGCGTAAACTAGGGGAATTGGTCTCTGAATTCGGGAAAAGAAATATAATCATGGGCTATCCAGTTGACAATTTTCCTCGAGGCATGCGGCGGGAGAAGGAACGTACGAAGCTCAAATGAGACGTGCTTGAAATGCGTCGCACGCCGGCGTCTCCATTGAACGTAGCGAGACGAGCCGACCCTACATTTGCATCCATGGCGGCCGAAGCCTTCAACGACACCGACGTTTCTTTTGGCTCAACCAGAGAACGGTTTTGATAGAAATTGAGTCACGGAGCGACGCTGCAATCGAATTTTGAAGCTTGTTCGCTTCACACCGAAATTATATTTCCCGGCTTGGGGGATTTCCAGTCGTAAATTTAATTCACGCATCAAAATAAATCTCTAAAAACTTATTATAAATGTCAAATCTAGAAGGCGATAAACTCTACATAATATTTTGATATAAAGTTCGCCTCGACGACAAATACATAAACCTTGACGGCACCTAAATTAGTATAGGTGCTGCATCAGCTACGCGCACAAACTTGGGAAAGAATTACTCAAGTTAGGCTGGAACGAGATAGCAATTACGAAAACTGCGCCCGGCCAGGACATAAGAACGAAAACCGATGGAAGAAAATCAGGGGCGGAAGACCCCTGGTCGAGGGACGGCTAACTGATGAGGCAACGCCTGAGGGAAGGGGGCGAGGGACGCGAAAGAACTTCCCTCAGGGGGAGAGGATGAGAGGGGAACAACTCCCCCTCTTCCCTTAGGGAGAGAAGAAGTAATATTAGTCCCGGCACCAAAGCAAAGCATGAGCAATGGTCGCGAGCTTATTGGAATTGCTGGAATTGCTTCCGGTACAGATCGGTCCAATTTACCGAGGTAAGCGCATTGTAGAGAGGATTTACACATTTCCGATATGCAATGATAAAATCCTGTGTAAAAATCGCGCTGTTCGTACCAATTATATTCTACAGTGCAAACTGATAGAAAAGGGCTCATTTGTTATATCATAGAACCCAATTTAAATCGAATTGACCAGGACCAAACAAGAACGCTTGTCTAATGTCTCATGAAATTAAGAGGCTATACCACTGATAATATTTACAAACGCATTCGTTTAACTCCAAGGCTGCTCGATAATCGATCAATGGAAAATAAAATTTGCTGAGCCTTCTGACTCGCAGTCAAGATGAACTCGGTTTTGTCCAGTTCAGAAATTGTGAATTGAAATTCTCTTCGTCACGTCCTGTAACAAACCCCGGCAACGTTAATCCTCTGCTGACATACTAAAACCCATTGCAAATACTTAAATACGTCAATCAAAATTCTACAACGCTGATTATATAAGCTCTATTGCCGTAGATAGATCATAATGAAGACGTAAATATTTTCGTTAGAACTATTTCAGAGGACCGGAATACACTAGAATGACTAGAACATTCCTGAAGCACGAGTATTGAATCAAAATTTCAATAAACAATTAACAAATCTCACTATAAAATGTTGAGCATACTGTACATGTGCGCCTAATGTCCATTTTGCAAAAGAATTACTTAATAGCGATCATGGTCAAATTTTTCGGTAAGCTACGTACAAATTATGAACGACAAAAATCAAACAACTTGCTGTTCAACATTTAGGAAGATTGCCTAGCTTGTTTGGTTTTATTTTCAATAACTAAGAAGAAATTTTGGGCTTCAAATTTTACATGAATGAGTAACCATACATCTGCTTAAATATTGAATGTTACCACTAAACAAGTTAGGAATGTGGGTACCGCGAACACTTTCTAGCCGTCATGGCGGCACCAAATAGATCATCATTTAATTCGATCAGTCGGAGACAGGCACTGAACACGCGGCGTGACCTAACAACACGAGTATTCATTAAACTCATGAATAGAATTCCTTAGCAGACCCAACACTTCTTGAGGTTGTAGCACTTGTGCGTCAACGCATCCTGAACTTTACTTGACTTAAGTTCTGCTGTGGCTTGCTCATGTACGGACATGCACATTTCATCAGAGTTACAGGGCTCTGCACGTTGGGGTAATTTATACCGTGAGAAATACCCTATCCTGAAAAAATATGGCCATCGTGCACATCAGTTACATTTGGAAAATTTTCTTTTGTTTTTATTTTGAAAAATGAGTCAGTTTATGCAAAAAATCTCCGATAAAGGAAAAAGAAAAATAACGTTAATTGCGTTAATAGAACATGTTCTTCTGAATTACTGAAGTCATTGTGAGGACAAATATTGCAGTGAAATCGATTTAGGTAAACACTGTTTTCGTCAACTTCCAAATAAGAGAAAATACTTTCATTTCTCATAAAGCTATCAGGACGAGATTAGTGCATGTTCGAAATAACTGTTCGTCATAAATATATACATAAAATACGGTACATCGATTAAGCTGTTGCACACAAACATAAAGTACAATTTTCTAATTATCATCAATAAATAAACTGACAACAGAGGACAGACATTGAGAACGCCAAGTTGAGATAAAAAATTTGATTAATTCTGGCAAAAACGCTTCCAGAAACTATTCTCTCAGGGATCTTCACAGTTCGAAAAAAGCAGACTTTTTATCAAACATTTCGGGAAACATTTAAATGTATCGCTGAACGTCGGTTCATGTAAAAATATTAAACATAGCTATGATCAAAATCTGGAATGTTGCATTCAGACATGACACAACTTACTTTGTTATATATTACAAGTTAAATTGTTATTTATTACAAGTTACTCCGCGCGCCTTTCTCAAGAATAACATCGGCTGTACTGACATAATTAGCAGCTACGAGGTGGCTTCGAGCGGCGATTTGTGGGCGACCACCAACGGATTCGGGGTCTTCTTGTCATACATGAGTCAGCGGCAAAGTTTTGTTGACGGACCCAAAATGAGAGACGACGCTGGAGGCGTGGGGATTGGCTGAGGCGGCAGGATAGGCAGGGGGCGGCTCAAGACTCCCCTCCTTGGGGAGCCTGGAGGGACATTCGTAGGTGTGTCCCCTGTTACTGCTGCACACTCGCTGGTAGAACCTGCGCCAAGACTCTAGGGTTTTGCTCGACCAGATCCAAAAGCCCGACGTGATGCCGACCACGAGCGACATGAAATATCGCAGCATTAGCACCGAGGCGTCAGGACCTGTGCCTTTGTGCGCACTGTTGGGACAAGCGAGGGCTTCTTGCCACGCATCCAAGTACGCATGCTCGTAGAAGTAGCAACATATCACCACAGTCGCCGGCACCGTGTACAACACACTGAATACACCAATTCTTATCATAAGTTTCTCCAGTTTTTCAGTTCTGGACCTACCTTGTTGTTTGATTACTTTCCTAATTCGAAATAAACTCACAAACCCCGCCAGTAAAAAACAAGAGCCTAGCACGAGGTAAATGAATAGAGGGATGAGAACAAAACCTAGCAGGTTTCTGGCGTCTAAATTCCCGACGAAGCAGATCCCAGCGACTGGTTCTCCATCCACGGCTGCCATGGTGAGTACCGCGATCGTTTGGAGGGTGGGTATAAGCCACGCTGCTACGTGAAACCACGTTGAATAACTCGAGATGGCTTCGTTGCCCCACTTGAGACCCGCTGCTAGGAACCACGTGAAAGCCAACACCACCCACCAGATGCTTGAAGCCATCCCGAAGAAGTAGATCAATAGGAAGACTGTGGTGCACAGCCCTGAGCCGTACTCGTTGTAACGGATCAGCTGGTAGTTATAAATGATGATGGATCCATCACAAGCGACGGCATCATGACCGGCCGCCAAACGGATGATGTAGCCTAATGATACCATGAAGTAGCAGCCACCTAAGAAAATGATTGGTCTTTCGGGGTACTTGAAGCGTTCCATGTCGATCAAGAATGTCGTCATCGTCATGAGCGTGGACACACAGCATATCACAGCCACAGTCGATATCCAGACATCGGCAAAAGCTCGTTCTCGGTCCGAGAAGTGGACTCCCTTGCACGGAATGGTGCAGCCTTCGACACCGGCTACGCTGGGTGATATGTTGCGATATCGACCTACCTCTCGGTAAGTCGGGTCTACCTGAACCAAGGGATGGAGGCACGAGCACGACTCCTTCTTAGGTTGCAGGTTAGGGGCCGACCCGTTCCGTTCATCCATACATAAGTTTTCGTGGTCGCCGAACCTTGGTAACTTCGTGCAATCCATGCGCTCTGGCCAGGCAAATCCATACTGATCCATAATTGGAGCACAACCAGCCTTGGCGCGTTCACATACGCTGCGGCAAGCGGGCAACTGTTTGTCGTAATATTCAATGCATATTGGCGCGTATACTGAACACAAGAAAAAATTCAAATCTGGTGAACAATTTATCTCAACAAGAGGCCAGAACTGGTGCACTTCCATGCCAGCCTCGTCTTGAGTCTCATGATTGAACTGATTCGGCATGGCCGTCATGTTGTATCCGATGCCTTTGCACATCGGTATTGATATTTCTTGACATCTTGGCTCCCTTATTACGTCGCTTACTACGTCGGTGGCATCACTCACAACAATGCACCACGCCGATATCAAGAGAAGGATGGCGCTCACCTTCAACATTGCACCAGGAACGTTTATGTTGAATAAAATTCTACATCATTGTCACCTCACTATTTATGTCACGAGGAGACACTGTCAGCATATTGTAATACACATCTTGCACAATATAAAGTTCCAAAGACACCAAGCTTTTACGATCAGTGACGCTACAAGCTCGATTTCGCTGAAGCAGGACGGAGCGAACTGACTACCTCCACACGCGGAAGGCCGATGTTCACTGATTGACGAGTCTCGAGGAGACCCAAGTCCGGGCGGCGAGCCGGAATGAAGGGAGCGCACGCGTGACAAATCGAACAAACAAAGCTCACTGCTCTACTATATCTGCCACCTCTACGAATTAAAACTATCAATATAGGTACCTAGAAACACATTTTTGTTGAGGTTGGTTGAAATTCATATATTTTAGAATCAATGAGTTAACAAGCAGGCCAGATTACATCAATTTTCTATATTGATTTGAACTGTTTCACTTTCCTACATTCAAATTGAGAAGTGTCGATTCGGTGATATGAAATAACACTGAAACAAGCATATGCAAATAAACTTGCCAACGTTGCGGGCAGATATTAGGGACAACTGGATATTCCCTACACATTCCAAATAAAAGCACTTATTCTTGCCGATAATAATTTAAAATTAAGTTTTAAATTCTCGTATTGTTTACTTACGATACGTTGATAGATGATCACGTAACATACATGCATTTGGTACGCTGCTCGAGCTTTAACAGCAAACAACATTTGGAATTAAGGCGCAATTGCAAGCAAATTAATGCGTGTCTTATCTTATCAACTGTGAACACATGAAGTCATCAAACATAACCCACGTCACACCGATAAAAATGATCAATCATGTTCTCTTTTTTTCTTCTTTATTCCATCGTCTTTTTCTTTCACATGATCTTATCCCGCTGTGATTTTTAGCTTGAAAATGCTTCCATCGCCTCTACTAAATCACATCATTTAAATATTTTTTTTTTTGTGGAAAAACATCCCGTGTAAAGGTATGTCAGTCACTTCCTAGAGACGCCTGCGTCTTGTGCACATATTGACGGCACGGCATGACAGCTCTGATTTTAATGGAAGTCGGGAAAGGCGCTTCCGAGGACGAAACCTTCATCATTTACATAATTTATGGAAATGGATGCCAAGCAGAGACTAAAAGGCGGACTATCAGGCTCCGGCGGCAGAGACAAACATACGCGGTTTGGTGCGGATACACCGATACATTTTCAAAGCTGAAATTAAAATCATGTTCAAAAACAACAACTGGAATGTGTATGAAACAACAGAAGTAATACACAAGAGAATATTTTGAATGATTGTATATATTGTTTTCAATTACTTTGATTTTTTAAATTGAATGATATTAATACTACGTGAAAGCAAAATCCTCAACATTTATTTAATTTCAGCATGTCTTGTAGAGTCGTTCTTAATATGTTTTCGGGTAAAATTTGGTGTTCTTGCACGAGTAAAATTTGAGGTAAATTATTTTTTATACCAAGCAAACTTTTGTAGTCGATTGGTTTGCCACTTGACAAAAATTGTCATATAGTCTATTCACTTTGATACCGATTCGATCATCTCTACAGACAATTATTTTATAACGGAAGTTGCATCCGCTAACTCACTAGTTGACGTTGACGAGTGTTCAAATAATGTGATTTTGAAGATTTCGCCTTCATTTACATCCATCAAGTAGTGACTGCGACAAGTTATCAACGGCGGATGAGGAATTCGACAAGTACAGCCGAAATCGCCGCTTTGCGTGTGGTTTTTGATACTCCGCAAGCATGTCATCCAGAATAGCGGACTAGGACTGTCACGCGACCACAGAACTGCGATCACTCACAAAAATAGAGAGACTTTGTCCAAATATCGATGATCTTCTTGCCCTTGTGTTTGCCATACGGACCCACTTTTGCCCGGCTAAAGGGCGTATATCAGTGCTTCATGCAGAAAAGGAGCCACAATTTGGACAAGATAACCCATTCATATTTTTGAGTGCAATTACTGTAGGTCATACTATGGTGTATGTTCTACATGAGCATGAATTTTTAAATCGAGCATTGACGGAGCGAAAGTCAGTGTCAGTTAAAAGTGATAAGTGTCAGTAAGAAAGTTATTTCCGCGCACTGGATTTAAGGTTTAATTGTAATATTGCGGTTTTAGTTTTCTCGACGTTCAGATAGAACCGCACATCTGACAAGCTTTTTTTTGCGTCGCATTTACAAGAACTAAGATATTAAAAATAATCTTTCGTCTCTTAGTTCTTTGTCCAAAAGACACCGACACGTGAACTGTCGTGTGAATTGGAAAAATGTGAATTCAAGAAAAATTGCTATTCCAACATAGAAAAATATGCACCCAGTTTTTTATGGTATAGAAAATTGTTGAGTAAGATTAGCATTTATGAAGCTCCAAAAACTCTGTGCAATTTTGCTTGGGTCCTGAATTATTGGGTCCGATTTCTTTTCAAAGACCGGAAGAAAAATGCGACTCCAACGCGCCATTTCTTACGCCAACCCGCGTCAAGAAAAAGTATTTCTTCTCTGCACGGAATTTCGAGGAGAAAACACTGAGTTTTTGTATCGAAGAGAACGTGATTTGTAGCAGGACCGTGTTGCTCGGGAGCCTCACCTGCCTCGTCGATACTTTATTGAGCTAACACTTGGTCGGATACGCTCAACTGTATATGTAATAAAATATAACTCAGTACTCACTGCAGTGAGTGACAGAGAGCGCATTTTCTCGTCGACCAAAACTTGAGGCCACGGACGGACAGACTGACAGACAGACAGACAGACAGACAGACGGACATGGCGAGCACAATTGTGCATTTTTTCCATAAATGAGAAAATGCTCTAATTATAGCTGTAGGTTAACCTGGCGATGTTGGAATAGGGATGTGCATCAGGTTAATCTATTTCAATAACCTGGCTTTTCTCGATAGCCAATTTGTCCTATACTGATACTCGGATTTAAACTAATGGTGATATCATGCGGGACTTCGAAAATAATAAGACAAATGTTCGCTTCAAAGAAGAAAAAAAGTGTCAACTTTCGCCATTTAAAACCCATGCAAGTGGCTTCAAAGTAACAAACGTATTAAGCTTCTAAAATTTATTATAGCTGAGAAAAAAACTGTAAATGGCAAGAATAATTGTACTTATGACTATCATGTAACGAATTTTTCAGCTATGAAGTCTATGTATAAGATACGATTTCTTGAATACAATTTTTTACTTTACAACAGCGCCCATATTAAATTTACTTACAATTCGACTAAAAAGTAACATTTTCATATGAGTAGGTCTCGGCATCAGCCGAGGCAGTATAGGTCCGCAATATTTGTTCAGGCCGTAGGTCCGCAAAAGTTTGTTCCCGCAGCCCAGGAGTTGCCAAGCACAAACCACGGCTTGCCGAAAGTGACGGCAATTTAGTCGCCCAATCGAATGAAGGAAAAGTTAGAGGATAATTTAGAAGAAGCGAGAGTTTCGAGCCACAAAATGCCTATTTACGGCACTACAAAGCGAGGCGAGCGACAACATAACGAAACTTTTTCAGCGCGTACCTTCGGAGAACAAATCTGAGTAAAACGCTAGCAACGAAGACGTTTTCATTTTTGCAAAATGCGGTCATTTCCCTTGCAAGACATGCACTCACCCGAATTGTGAACTGCATCAAATTCTGAAATGTGTCCCTCGGAGTGAAAAATAAAAAAATTAAATGATAACTAAATTATGGGTGATAAATTGCTCGTAATTTGAAAATCATTTATTGAAGTCCTGTGCATTCCCGACTCAGTCTCCGAGGTCCATTTGACACAAATATGCCTGCATGCAACGTGGGGAACAACTGGCTATAACCCTGGATCTTGTGTCTCCAAATCTTTCTATAAAGAACGACCTCTGAGCAAATCCATAAAATCCATAAAGAATCTCAACAAGGACTTCCTAGCTGAGGCAGACGCACTTCTCTTGTCCCTTTGTTCCAGCCTCGACGTGAGAAGTTGTCTTTGCCTGCAGATCTCGGCCATCGAGATGAGCCGCTTGAGAGAGGCGGCTGCTGCTACTGGATTGGGAAGCTACAAGTTTACGGCTCCATATTCTTCAATGCTATGTGCTACTTTTCGCCTCACTAAAAGGTCCGAATATACGGCCATCTGCATCTCGATATACTCACAATTATGAGCACTTATCACCTTATATGGTACGGGCTGCATTTAGCTCGAACGTAAGCTCATGCAAAAGGCTTAAGCGGAAAGGCAATTGGGTTATAAGCGCTGTCAAAATGGGCAATAAGTTTCACTGTTTACTGCCGCGAAGCGTTCGAACCAGTAACTCGTTGCAGGGAAGCATTGCAATCGCACCACATCGTCAGCCCTCCATTGCGCAAATAAACTCTTAGAACAAACACGATTGCTATGTTTACTAGCTGGACACGGTCATACATGATTTTGACCTGCATCTAACATGGTCATACATGATTTCAACACGCATCAGACACGTTCAAACATGATAGCGGAATATATCAGACACGTTCATACATGATAACGACACACACATCAGATCAGACACGTTCATACATGATAACGACACATATCAGACACGTTCATACATGATAACGGCACATATCAGACACGTTCATGAATAAACGCTTCACCGCGCTCGAGTGAGCTCATATCTCGGCGCCCGTTCTGGTACTGAGGCCCATTTGTAGGCTCAAGAGGCCCATGAAGCAGCTTTACGAGGCCTTAGGGCGAGGTGAGACTCAGAGTTTATTATTTACGAGCAGCTTAATTGAAAAACTTCTCCGGTGGGAACGGCCTAGAAAGAGCGGCACCATTAGAAAATTGAAGCGATTAGTAATGTGGAGAAGATATGCTGTTATGACCTCTTTGTTCGCGAGAACTGAACTACGACACAGATTGACTCGACAGATTTAGGGCCTAGCTTGTGAGGCTCGGTCGAGTTTGAACAGATCTGGGAGTGGATCGGAACGGAATGGATTCTGCCGGCGTACAGAAGAATAAAAATACTGAAGGTGACGTATTTAATGGCCGCCATCGCTTCAGGAGTGATGGTTATGGACCAAATGGAAAGTGCAGCAGTAGGTAGGATGAATGTGGAAGAAATTAAAT